CTCTCTCTCTCTCTCTCTCTCTCTCTCTCTCTCTCTCAGACAAATGGATGGATATATGAGTTAGTATTTGTGGAGCAGATGTCCGTCACATTAGTTGCAGACATCAGTCTCTCATTTAGGGCTTTTCACTGCACAGACATCACAATCACTGGCACTCACTCTCCCAGTGCTCTCTCATACTGTCTTTCCTTATATTTTATGTCATATATATTTCCCTAACATTACAGAGAGAGAGAGAGAGAGAGAGAGAGAGAGAGAGAGAGAGAGCCAAATGGACTTAATACCAGAGTTGACCATTCATTTCAATTCTATTTTAAACTAAAATGAAAAAACTTTGTTTCTTATATTTTCTCATTTACTATACGTCTCTCTCTCTCTCTCTCTCTCTCTTTCTGTAATTTTAAAAAACTTTTTGCTTTTACTCCAAAAATTCATTTAAAATTTCTCTTTTAGTTTATTTCTATTTTACACAAAACTTTTGTAAAAATAATAAAAACAAAAACTAAAAATTTATTTCATTAATTTTTAAGCGCAAAGTGTTTTTGTTTGCCATTAATCTTGTTATGAATTTTTGGCCACAATTTCTCCTTATTTTAAAGCCTAAAAGTCGATACAATTTTACAAGTTTTTAACAAACAGATTATTATCAAAGAATCGCAAGAATTACTGTAAAAACAGAATTTTAAATATAGGTTTATAGCCATAGGAATATTCTTGATATACAATTCCTATGTTTATTCAGTAATCCATTGCAAAATCATTAACTAAATTATGTTATTTGAAGTAAAAAAAGTCACAATATATTGTAATTGATGGTAAAATAGGGTCACAATTATATGCCATAAAAAACACATTCACAGCACATATTAGGCGCGACTCCTATTCACTGTTTTTTGTTGATCACAAAAAAGTGGGCATAAAATACATTAACGATCTAAATATGAAAACCCATTGTGAATGTGAGAGTCCATAGTATCATCTCATCGATGATTGACCGTTATATACAACAACACAATCACAATATATATAACTGTATTATATATTATATAAGTGTATATTTATACCAAACAGGGCTATAGTAAAGGGATTAAGCTTTTTATTGAATGACCCGAAATATATATATAGTTATATGGTTTGCATTGTTGTGTAATACTCTCGGTCTGTGTCTCTCTCCCGGTGCCCATCATTACTATTCTCTCAATCTGTGGCATACGTTTATAGCATCGGTGATGATGTGCTCACTCGGAGAGAGAGAGAGAGAGAGAGAGAGTCAGTACTGACCATACGATTTATGACACAAACACATACAGACAGACACAACACAAAGATTACTCGCAATACACAGGATATTAAAGGCAATATTTTTCACTCATTTCGACCCGACTATAATCCTCAGCCAAAAACACTCACTTATATATTATAATATATAATAGTTGTGTATATATACTGTAAATACCATAGATATTCTCAGAAAAAACTATATTCCTGAATGTCCATTATATTCACTACATTATTGTTCAATATATTAACCTTTTCACTCATGGTAATATTTTTTGTAAAAATTGATATAAAAATATTTTAAAAATAAGTATAAATTATTATGAAACTGTGTTTAGCATTATTGTTATCATTATTATTATTTATTATCATATTTAATATCTGATAAACACATACAATATTTTCATTTATATAACATATAAAAAACATGTGACTAATCACTGAAAATCTCGATGATATCTGTCTTATCTATGGAAAAATATATATCACGTTATTTTTATAATCATATGTTTATGAAATGTTAAAAATATTTTTGCCAATCGATAGCAAAGGCATTGCATTGAAGAATCCATTCATACAATTCCTAGCATTGATTGCTTTGGCTCTCTCTCTCTCTCTCTCTCTCTCTCTCTCTCTCATATCTATGTCTCACATCTCCAGCACTCATCTGACAACACATTTTCATTTCATACATTATTATCGCTTGAGTTCATTATAATTGGGATGTAGTGTAGAGTAGATTCACAGATGCCTTGCCTTCAAAACTCCTGTTACACACACTCTCTGAGCCATCATTTTGTGTACAGAGTTTAAAACCAACTCAAACAGGCTGTAGGGGCGCACCGACACCGGCCACACAAAACACGGCAATCCTGAGCTGTCCAAACCTCATGTCAATCCAACCCCGATCGCTAGTGATGAGTGCGGCCCCGCACCGCACGGCCTGTGCCATTGTATACCACTTATTGGGGCCGTTATCGGCGGCACTACTCGTGTGACAATCATTAAACTGTCGGCTCATGAAAGCGGCGATCTCTCCGTACGTGTCGTACGTTGTGATGGCCTCACGACACGTGTCCACCGCCTTTGCCCGCAGTCCCGACGCCAGCGAACAGTACGTGATCTCCGGGTGTCGGAGCCGTTGTCGGGCCGACGCCAGCACTTGGTTTATGTGGTCCTTTGAAATGGGTTTTAAAATTTTAAATACTGTAAGAAACTGCTCACTGATTGAGTGTCGTCGGGCGGCAGCGCATAGTTATCCCTACAATCCGTCAAAGTCTTGATCCGATCCTTAAGTTTAAGTATTTCGCACTTCAATTGTGACACCTCTTCGGCGAGCGATTCATTCAATTGTTTCAAACTAAGCACACAGTTGTGCGCCACTGGTTGTAGGGGCAGCTGTTGGGGCTCTAGTAGTAGTGGCGGCCCCACCACTGGTCCGTCCAATCGATCACAAGTCGTCGACCCTTCAGTACTGACGCCCACTTTCTGACCGCAATCAGCGCACCGACGGTCCGAATTAAACCGACAACAGTCCTCGTGTCGGGCCAAACACTGCAACTCCAGCACATGTGGGCACCCGTAGGCACTGAATTGGCACCCAATCCTAAGCCTCGCCAACAGATTACACGCTAATCTCTGCGGATATTGTAATTCACTGGCGATTAGCGGCTGTCGATCATTAGGACACGAGCTGTTCACTGCCAACCACTGGCCCATACATGCCCTGCAGTATGCGTGTCGACAGCACGGCGTGACTACCGGTGACCGCAGTATTTGTAAGCATATACCGCACATGAGTTCGTCCGACTCCCTGTCCGACAGGTCGACGAACCGGTCCCGAGAATAGCCCGGCATTTGTCTGTTGCGTTGTTATAGCCGTAGATACTATAGTTGTTGGATATTGTTTGGTATTTCCGACTGTTTTTGTTATTTGTGTTGGTTTTTGGTGTCGATATGGGATTAAGTGGTGTATTATTGACACAAACTTTTTTGTGTTTTTGTCGTAATTTTGTGGGCAATTAAAAACACTTAAACACTTAATCAATACCCAATGTCTTCATTTATATAGTCGTTGATAAACTTGTTGTTTACACATATCTATTGGCAACTCTCTCTCTCTCTCTCTCTCTCTCTCTCTCTC